ACGGGGAAACATTTTATCAAAAAAAGCAGGACACGGAAACGTGGGGAATAGGTGTAAATATTAAAAAATATAAGGGTACATTTTATAATTTTTAAAAATCATTTTTATTATTAATATTACAGTTTACTTATAATTTTTATTAAGTTATTCAAATTAAATAAATACAACTAGTGAACTTCTGGCTTAGAATAATAAGATGTGAGAAAAAAAGAATAAAGGAGGGTTTTTTTTTGGTCGGGTTTAGGCTTTTCTTAGTGAAAAAAAGATTTTTTTTTACTGATACGCGTGTCCAATTCCGATACACGTGTTCAACTTTTGGATAATTACAGACACGGCCCAGTGAAGTATCTGAAGATTTCCACGCGTTTCGTGTCCGAAACGTTTCCGACACGCCGATACCCCACCAAATTGCCGTGTCTATGTAACAGAGGAAACGAGGTGAAAATTAATGTCGATGCTTCTCTTGCTTCGGTGGAACATGGATGTGGGCTAGGGGGCTTGGCACGAACCTCTGATGGAAATTGCTTACCCTGGTTTTGTACATGTTGTCCTCTTTTGATTGATCCTACTTCAATCGCGGCTCTCAAAGCTTTGGAATTCACTCAAGACAACCGGTGGGGTGGAGTAGACTAGTTCTGGAATATGATTCTAGCACTGTATATAGTTGATGCTATTGTTGGAGAGTTCGGTAGTCGCACGATCTATGGGAATGTTATTGACGACATTAAACGATTAGCCAGCATATTTGAAGTGTTCAAAATTCGTCACGTTAAGAGAGAAGCAAACCGCATAGCCCGTGAAATTGCTAGGCTTTTGTCCATAGGCTCTTTTATGTTTGAACGTTCTTCCTAGTTTTATTATTGATATCGTAAAATCTCACTTTCCTCATTAATGAAATTCACTTTTCCTCTAAAAAAAATTTGTGGGGGCATTTTAGGCAATGTAAACACCAAGGGTAATATAATTATGTGATAAAAAAAAAAAAAAAAAACAAGTGTCTTTACCACTAATAATAAAACTAGGTTTGAAGTGTATCTTTTATTTCCTATACAACAGCTGTAATAACAAAAGCAATAGTCCAGACTTAAGACAATCTAATCCCATGTTTCGTAGCCTCCAAGAATATTTAAACCCAAACTTCAAACAGACGCAATATATATATATATATATATATATATATATATATATATATATATATATATATATATATATATACATATATATATATATATATACATATAATTCACTGTATACACGCACACACACATTGGAAGTGGAAGCACCGGAGACGATGAGCTTAAGACATGTGAGCAGGCTGTGGGTTAAAGTAATTCAAGGGCTGATTATTAATCCTAAAGACCGTAGATCTACATCTAATGCCTCTATGAAACCTGCTGTAGCTGCTACTACTCGTTCCATTTCTAATTCTGATTCCAATTCCAATACCGATTTCATTCCCAATTCGAATTCCGATTCCGATTTCGACAGCATGCGGAATGTCGTGGAAAAGGAAAGCAGCAGCAGCCGTAGCAAGGAAGAGAAACTCAGGTTGATGAGAGAAGCTGAGAAGGCTGACATTATTATGCAGCTTGTTTGCTTCGGACCAAATTCGTGATGGTAATAAAAAATTATGACAATATATATTCAAAGTGAAATTTTTCGGATTTCGATGTTCGTATTTTTGTTCGGAATAAGTATTTGTAATGAATGCCATTTTAAGTATTTCGTGTTTGTCTTATTGAAATGTTGGTAAAGATGTACTTGTTGATTTATATGTCTATAGAAATCAATTTTATTTAATTAGTTGTAACAGTTTACCTGTTATGACAGTAGTATCTGTTGCAACTACTAAAAGCAGAATAAATAATATAATAAATTATTGTGGTTCGGATACTAAAGTGACCTACATTCATGATGACTTGTAAGTAAGAGTTCAATAGTTCATATTTACAGTGTACATTAGTAGGACTTATTAAAACATTAAAGACTCCATCTTTAAATCATATCATTCTTGTATACAACTCGAACGTCTTGTTTTCTTCACGCAACTTCTCCGCATTTTGTTGGACTTTCTCGAAGGTTGAATTCTCTTTAGATGGCGGATGAACTATTTCGAGATTTTTAAAGGAAATTTGTATGTCTACTCACAACAGCAACGAGGACACAACTGCCTCACATAATGCCCAAGCAAATTTTCAATACTTTGATGTACTTTTCTTCAATAAAAGCGCCGACATTCTTAATTGGTTTGATTGGCTTATATATGTACGAGATAAGCTCTGCGAACCCAAACTTGAACCCCAAGAAATTGAACGTTAAGGAAATATAATCATACACAATTTCTACACTTAATAGATAAGTACAAAGATACATAATCTAAAACAATTACATGGAAATAGAATAGAGTCCCAAATAATTAAAACTATACAAAATATGGACTTTAAATAATTTTCAAAATAATAGGCGGATTTCGTTATGAGTCCTCATCAGAAATCTGGCACCAACAGTAATTAGTGTAATATTCCGACATTTGTTAATAACTAAAAGACTCAACATATAGTACTAAATGTAAGTAAATTTAGATGATGTAGCTAAACTTGTTGCCCTAGAGATGGGGCTCTGGGGCGAGTGATTTCACCTTTTGATGCAAGTAACCCGACACTTTTCCCTCTCCCATCTATCAAATATCGCCTTTTGTCATTTCATTCAGATACTATATATGTCCGATCTTAGCCCTATTTAATATCTAAAGGATAAATTACAACCACCCCTGAGGTATGGTCAAATTGCAAAAATCCCCCTCTTATTTGGGTAATTACAACCACCCCCTCAACTATAAATCTTCTTACACGTTCACACTTGCGGTTTCAAATTTAGTGGAATCTTCTAGATTATATGGAGTATTATCACTTTTGTACCCGCTTTATCCCATTCGAACTCCATATTTTGAAGCAAGATGTTCATAATATGTGTTTTTTGGCTTGTACATATCACTTTGTAGTGCACCAGAAGCTGTATTTTTACACAAAACGAGTACAAACTAGAGCACATTCCACGAAATCTAGATGATTATATTGAATTAGACACCATAAGGGTGGATGTGTAAGAAAAATCATAGTTGAAGAGGTAGATATAACTCTATATCCAAACAAGACGAGTTTTTTCGTAAATTGACCATACCTCATGGGTGGTTGTAATTTACCCAAATTGTTTTAAGAAAATTCGTCATATACGGTATCATATTTGTTTCTCTTATAAAGAGGCCAAATAGTTTGTTTTTTTTCTTTTGTATAAGTACTATCTTTTGTGTTTTTAACATTCGGTACCCCTATATCATCTCTAATGGGAAAAAGCCCATATGTTAATATAATTAGCACATACCCTTCATATAAGATAATCAAAGCCACTAAAAACCCTGCGAGTTGGTCGTGTGATACACTTTCCAAATACGCGATCGGCGTTCGATTTTTTGACGTGAAAAAACCTAAATACCCTTTAAATTATAAATTTCAAAAATAAGTCCCAAGTAAAGTTTTCAATATTTTCAACTCAGTCCCTTGAAGTTTCAGAAAAGTCCTCTTCTCCCAAGTCAGGGGACTGAATTGCAATTTTTCCATTCAGCACAAGGCCGAATAAAGAGGAAAGGCAAAATTTCGGCGGCCCTTCAGCTTCGATCGCGGGTGTCCTCCTCTACGAAAGGCAAAACTCTGGCGGCGAATAAAGAGGATTCAAATTATTGGATTATAGAGTACATTTAAACTCATTCTACTCTCTAATTTTGGATCACCAAATTCTCTCCAAAGAAAACAAATCCCAAATTTGAGCCTCAACTCTGTTCTGATCTAAATCAATCAAAAAAGATTAAAAAAAAAAAAAAAAGGTGGAGAATATTTAAGATTCAAGCTCATTATTCTCCTGCAAAACCCATCAACAACCCGTGAAAATCCAAGAAAATATATGCCCTTATCGAAAATTTTCATAAAAAAAAACAAGATAAATAGAGCTTTTCAGAAGAAAAAAAATTCCACGAAAAAAACTATCTTTTGCGTTTTTTTTTTTTGGCTTTCTTCTCCAGCGTCTCTCGATAGTAGCCCATTGATATAGCCTTATAGGCTTGTGTGGCTGTTGCTTCTTCGCCTTTTGTGTCTTCATTGCGAGTGTGGTGTACAATACGAAGATGACCATGGCGGATGGCAGAGGAGAGATCTAGATGGCGGCGAGATGAACGGGAAAGAATTGTGTTGGGTTGTAGATGACGAGTTGGTTGGGGGGGGGGGTTACGTGGAAGATGACCTTTTTTGTTTTCTCTTTTTATTTTTTATTGATGCTTTATTTCTTCTTTTGTTTTATGTTGTATTTTAATAAAATGCAACGTAGGTGCGTAATTGCTAATTTTTTTAACATAAGAGTTTTTTTAGTCATTACAGATTACACAGGTGGGGTCTGGGGTCTGTGCAAATAACTCACTATTTTATACTAATTTTCATTAAAATGATGAGGAAAAATACCTCCCCGCCTCCAACCTCCTTGCCCCCGCTTTAGTGGTGTTCAAAATCAATCCCATGGCATCCGTCCGTGCCAAGCCTGTTGGGACCACTCGTATCCATTCTAGCCCGTGGTTGCCCGCATGGCCCATTTTTTCTTTTCCAAAAAGATGGTCTAGAATCGAGGAATGTGGAGGCGTTAGTATGCACACAAGAATGGGTTGAAGCAGAAATTAGAAAAACAACAAAACAACAACGACGAGGATAGTCCCGAAGAATATGACATCCGAAATGAAGAGGATAATCCCGAAGAATATGACATCAAAAATAAATTTACCGGTGAAGGTTATTGAAGGACAACAACTAATCTGAAGATTATAAATGAAAATATTTGAAAAAATCCAATATACGCGCCGGGAAAATAACCCTTCCCTTATTCCCGGGAAAATAATTACATCTGCATCTCCTTAACCTTTGTTCTTTTTTCCATTAAAAACAACTACAGTAACACACAACTTCCACATAATTACATTTATATTGCAAACAAATAAAGCATACAATCAATTAATCTCAGTCTTGGTTTTTTAATCCTGATCAAATTTACAACTTCAACAAATCCTCCCCGTTAGAGGCTAACAAAAGAAACGAAAACCACACCCTTACCCTTATTCATGTAATTTGAATCAACAAACAAACAATCAAAAAACCAAATCCTAAGAACTGAGAGGGTTGAGCTATAGTTAATGTTTAAATCAATCATCAATAAGCACGATTTACGCAATTTCAATTAAAAAAAAAAAAAAAAAAAAACCATTTACTGATTGATGAGCATTAGCTGAGATGAGAAATCTCGACCCCATCGGGAATCTTGAAAGTATCTGCCGCTCCGAACTTTCTCCATTCGGCCCCGACAGATTCGTCCTCGTTGTCACTGTCCCTTTCATCAGCTTCGTAAGACATTGGAGAAGCGGGATCCATAAAACTTTTGGATCTGCAGTCGTGTGTGGCAAGCATTTTAACTTGGCCGAGATGTGAGATTTCTACTACAACTGTTTCGTCGTCTACTGGTAGTGGCTGCTTCCACGGCTCCCCGTCTATCCTCATGAACGTGTGGTCGGCCCCACCTTTGTGGAACTCGAATCGGATACGGTGTGCCTATTTTTATATATACATATTATATATATACAAGAAAATGAAATATCAGAATCGGAAAATCAAATAGTGGCAAGGGTTTTTCGTGTATCTCAAGAATTATGGAAATTTAAATAATGAAAGGAACTAGTGGAAATGCTAGTTTTTGCCAATCTTGAAAATAAAGAAATTACTTAACAAGTTAAGAAAGCGTCCGACTCGAAAATTAAATAACATTAGAATATTTGCCAAAACAGAAAGTGTCAAACCTGTGCAAGACGTGTCCCGTGTCCATTAGGAGCAAGTAGAACAAGTCCATGCCAAGCATCTCTAAAACCAACAATCTCGATTAGCCCATCATCTACGAATGGTGGAGTCAAATCTCTCTGCACAACGAGTTGGATAAGAAAAATCATATCAGCAAAAACTCAACTCCACGAGTTGATATTTTTTTTTCCTTATGTTCCCATTTTCTCTGAAAGGAATTTGGGGCAAGAAAGAGAAGAAAACAATGTTCACTACTTACATCGCGACGTTTATTACTATTTGGAGTTCCCCATGGATTAAGTCCACCCGAGAAACTTGGCAAGTTAAGGCAAACAATTGACCTGATGCTGTATGTCACAAAATTACACAATATTTCAGTTTTGTCGTTGTTCCTTCAGGTAATATACTGAGCATAATAAATTTCAGCTGAATACGGTTTTAAAAGTAAATTCCGAAAAAATGGATTATACTAAACTTGTAACCTTTCATGTTTGTTTTGGACATAGTTTGGAAACCCACAATCAGAAATAAATCGAGATTCTCAACAGCAAATAAGTTTGTACCTGTGAGGAACATCGAGGTCTTGCCAATCACCATGTCTTTTCATGACCTTTACCTTGCAAAGTTGAGCTATGTTTCTGCGCTCCGAATATTTTAGTGTTAGCAAAGAAAAAAATTAAAGACCAAAAAAGAATTGTAACCGCCCTGTATTTTCAGGAATTGTCAGTGCACAGAAATCTTGATTACAAAATTATTATTGACCTTGTATGTATGTAATAAGACAGAAATAAAATTAGCTTTGAACTATATGTCTGCATGAAAAGAGTATGATACCGTTAGCTCGTTAAAAGCATGAGTAGTTAACAAGCTACAAAAATGAAATTCTTGCATTTTCTCGCAGGACGCCCTAATTTTGTGAAACAATTTTACTGTAAAAATACGTTGAACATAATAATAAAAACAAACAATGAAATAAATACTTGGCGATGGCGAGTTCATAGTATTATTGTAGTTACATTCAATAATTAGAACACGACCATGGAAAGAAGATTTAGGCATGAAAAAGCAGTTAATTGGAATCACGAAACCGAAAGAATAAATGAAAAAAGATAGTGAACATGGGATCAGTGCTTATTGGACCAATAATTAGAAACCGAACACGAAAAAATAGGTGAGGCATGAAAAGGTAGTAAATCTAAGGCTTTTATGAATAATAGAACAGAATAAGCAGGTTGTGTATTCCGCATTTTCTTTAAAGAAAGAGATAAATATATTTAAGAAAATGGATTAAATCACTACATGCTCACCTCGAAGAAGGATGAAAGAGAGAAGCAGCAAACCATCCTTGCGAGCATCCAAGCTTTGCATATGTACTCTATGATGCCGCAAAGAAAATTAAATTAAATACATAAATAAGTAAAATCTATTTACAAAAAAATATATATGCTAAAAAAAAACTGTCACGAGAAATTAGAAACAATGATTTATGATGTAATAACAAGTCAAGCCAGCATATGACAGAAGCCATCTTATTAATCCGCTCGAAACTTCTTTTGTAGTAGTTAAAATAAATGAATGATAAAAAAATATTTGTAAGCTAAATAAAGGAGGTAAATTGTCGCAATTGGCTTGATAAAAAGAAATGTTACCATTTTACCTGATTAACTAGCTGGTTTTTGAATTTTTCTGGATGCAGCTTTCGTTCAGAGTGGAATGCATAGGAAACTTGCGCATCCATTCCTGAATTTATATCGTAAACATCAGTTGCAAGGATTTCATGGGGTAATATTTTTGTTATGGCGTCATGTATACGAAACTACGTTGGCTTCTGTAGGTCAATCTACTAAGACAAAAGGGAGTGAAGTATTGAATTGGCTACACATATTAAACAGCTTTTCGGTATTAACAACACTAAATAATATTTAACATCATCAAGTGATGGACATAGCACCAAAAAAATATGAGTTGATTGCGTTTAGTACCCCTGTGTTATATCGAATTGCTGGAAAAGAAACTTACAGTGCCTTTTTTTTAGGGTAAATTACACCTACACCCCTGAGGGATGCTAAAATAACTTTAAGTTCCCTGTGGTATTGGTAATTACAGACGCACCCCTTAAACAATTACCGGAGTCGAGATTTCATGTCCTGGGGACCGATATGCACTATATTTGTTTCCTGTGTGGCCGTTAATGATACACGACAGTTTATAAATCTTATATAATATAATAATAAAAAAAATGTTAAGGGAGTCATGTCACCCCCTAGCTCTATGTTGTCTCCACCACTGCCAGAAACTAATAGTTTGTTAGAACTCTAATGGAATAACTTATCCAATGCATCATTCCGCTAGGGTTTCTAACAATGTTTCAGGAGTGATTGTAATTACCAATACCACAGGGGCCTTAAAGTTATTTTAGCATACATCAGGGTGTAGGTGTAATTACCCTTTTTTTTAACACACAACCCCTTAACTAGTGAGTTTTAGGGTAGAAAAATGGAATCATAGTTTTTTTGCCAATAAGTAAAATAACGGGGGGAGTTTATTTTAAATAAGAAAAATGCAGGGGTTCCTAATGCAATAAACCCAAAAATTAATTGTTTAAAAATTAACATAAAGTGCCAAACCATTCACTTACCCATGCTAAAGTAGTTCCAAAATCCTCCCCGGAATGTGTCGTAACCTTCCTGAAACATTAACATGTCAAAAAGTGAAACCATGAGATGCAATGATGAAAAGACATGTTTGGTCCATTTTATTTAGTTTTAGTTGACAAAACGAAAAGAAATTTTTTTATGTGTTGTAAGGCCATTTAAAAAAAAAATGAAAAGTACTGATTTGGTATACAATTATGAAGAGAAGCATAAGAAAAATTAATATAGATGTTAGGAAAAGCTTCTTACAACATTGAGATCATCTGACGAAGAAACCCGATTGAATGCATGCAGCGAATGTGGCAAATCGAGAGGAGCAATTGGATCACAAGAAGAGCTCTGTTTTGACGCCTCCATTCGCATAAGAATATGCCAACTGAAAGAGAATCAAACTTATTCAGCAAAATTCGAAGAGAACAATTTTTAATGAACTGAAGTTTGTTAAGCAATCATAATTCATAACTCATAAAGAAAGCAATTATCTTCAGCTCCGAAAGCAACGAGAAATCATATTCATTCAAACAAGAAATCAATTTTCTAAATCCATCAAAGCTTAAAACGGGAGTTTACCTGTCGATCTTCATGTCTTTTGCTTTCCGCACTTGATTCAAGAACGACAGCACAGAATCACGATCGGTTCCAGGATTTTTCTTACCCTGAAATACAAAGGCTTAGACTAAGTGCTTCAACATTCTGATGTAACAAGAAACTTTGTTCACTTGGATTAAATTAAAATAGTTAAGAAGAAGAAAAGACGTATTATTATCGATCACTATAGATATTGTTATTATTATTATTATTATTATCATTATTATTAAAATATTATTTAACAGTTTTTTCATACCCAACCGAATGAGAACGGCAGATTGTTTCCAGTTCCCAAAGGCACGGTAGCAATCGGTGGTGGCTGAGCTAATTTCAGATCGGAAACCACCCCAAGAAGCCATCCAGCTGTACCATCTCCACCAGCAACCTGTATTTAAATATGTCACATATTTCACATTCATTATATTTAACCAATAACCATTACAAAACAAAAAGAGAAAAATTCCACAAGTTATTTTATTCCGCGCATCTCACAATTATTTTCAACTTCTTCTCGAGTTCAGAAGCAACTTCATCACCATTGTTCTTGAGCTTTTCGAGGTTGACAAAAAGCCTACGCAGTACACCATCCGGAGCTTCTTCCCCTAAATCAATAACCTGCATTTAGATTATATACAAAAGGCCAATTACTCCAAAATCGTAAACAATATCACAAGAAAATACATATGAAGTATAATTGATTTTTTAACCTGCTTTTCATTTAGTACAGTGCGATACGAAATGAGAAGATCTCCACCAAGCTGACCACCACTTTTTGAGTTGATAAATACCAAAACGGGGCATTCGGGTTTACAAGGGGGATACTGAATTTCTGAGTTTGGGTCAAGTATATAGCCGGGGATTCGAAACTGCTTGATAAATTCTTCCGAATTAAGATCCTCACTTGCCATTCCTAACTCCGAATCGAATAACTGTAAGAAATATTTCAGTAATCGAGTTTCGAAATCTTCTAGTGTATGTAAATATAAAACCCGGTTTTATGTCTATGAAGAATAGATTGTCAGAAGAAGAAGCGAAAAAAACATATTATTTAAGTCTTCATTTGGATTTATACGATTTAGAGGTGAGAGATCTCAAATCAAGAATAACGAAACGGTTGACCTTGTTTGGATGAATTTGTTTTCTAATGAATTTTCAAATCCTAACACCTCACACGTTGTGGTCGATTTCTTATCCATCTCATTTAAAATCGTTCCCCCAAATTCTAAAAGCCGATTTTCAAGTTGTAGTAACCGAAAACCAAAAGCAAGAAACTAATTAATTAATCAACTATCAGATTATCACCCAACAACACATCATCTATCAGGGGCAATTCAACAAACACAAAAGCTTCACAAAATCAGATCAGTCAAACTCAATCACCACAGTCAAATAAAAAAAAAACAGCAACAAATTCTTCTTCTCTGATCGCGCTGTTCGAATTCAACACCCCTAAAACACCAGAATTCTAATCGATCAACCCAACAACAAGACAAAAAATTCAAAAAAAAAATAAGAGGGGGAAAAACCAAAGCCCCAAACGAAATTCGTACAATAAAAATTAAGAATTCGTAACCTGCGAGAGACAAAATTACAGATTCCCGGATGTCTGAAAGGCGATTCAATTCCGCAGCGAAATTCGGATCTCGATCGAAAATGAAACGGCAGCCACAGAGATATAGAGAGATGCTGGGCGACTGAGTCACATTGAATGAAATATGAGCATTAATTATTTATTTAGTGGGTCATAAAATTAAAATGAGAGTTGATAGAAGAGAAGACGGAGTCATTTACATTTGATTGGGAGGCAGAGGGTATATATAGTAGGCAGAATGAAATGAAGCACGTTTTGGATTAGTGGGATTGTTAGTTATTACAGTTGTCTCATTTTATATTTACACTATATTTCATTTTTGTGCTTTTTTTCCCCCAAGATTTTGTCACGACTTACGAGGGAATATTATTAGCTAAAAGTCAATGACGAAATTGGCAATGAGAATATGCGATGATTCGATTAGATGAAATTGAATTAATTTGTTACTGGTTAATTAATTATTTAGTTGTAATATGTTCGGTTTGTTATATTAGTTCTTGTAAATTCTGGTATTATATTAAATTTGTTTATATATTCTCTTACTTTTTGCAAAATTATAGATTACTTTTGTTTTTTCGCTAAATTCTGGATTAAATGTTCGTTACTCTCCTTGTATCCCTATTAAGTGGGTTCAACGGAGTTTTTTTTATGATGCTTGCTTGCAGGGGCGGACCCAGGGGGGTTTTCTTGGGGGGGCGGAAATATAGGGGTAATTTAAGAGAGAAATTTTTTTTTGTTTTTAGGGACTAAAGTGTACAAAATTAAAAGTTTGGGGGGGCGAAAGTGTATAAACTAATACATAAATACCCAAAAAAAAAAAAAAAAAAAAAAACAGCTTAAAAAAAAAATCTTGGGGGGGCGGGGGCCACCCCAGCCTTAGGCGTAGGTACGCCCCTGCTTGCTTGGTTGAATGTATGTTTGTGTTGAAGATCCCTGACGTTAATCATTCGGCACATCTCCTTCAGCACGGTCCTCTTTCTTCATTCCCTGACGATCCTCCGGATTTATGTATTTTTTTGCTCGCTCCAATAGTTCTCGGAACGAAGTTGCACTTAGCTTAGCCAGAGATTTAAAGAACTCCCACTTCCTCAATCCCTGAACAAAGCATTGACGAACACTTCCAGATGTGTTGGTGGAATTTCTTACATCCTTGCCGATAAATGCTTCGTATTCTCCCTAGTTTTGCTTTAGGCTAAAGAGCGCCATTGCATATTTTGTTGCTTGCGCGAGCTATAGAAATTACGCACAAATTTCGAACAAAAATCGTCGAACGAGGTAATGGATTGCAACGGTAAATTGTTGAGCCATAGCTAGTTGCACATTTTTCGCTAGAGTCATGGCGAATACTAGGGGTGAGCAAAAAAACCGAGAAACCAAAAACCGAACCAAAAATCAAAAAAATCGAGCCGATATGCATCGTCCGGACTTAAAACCGCATATACGGTCATTTTTTTGTGTTGAAAAACCGAAAATATCGGTTTGTGTATGGAGAATAAAAAAATTACCGAATCGAACTTTATATATAGTATAAATACTTACCCTAGTGTGCCTCTATCCTTTGAGCTCCTCCATCTGACGTGTTTTTATTAGTTAATTTTGGGTTGTTATTTGTTAATTTTCTCAAACAAATGTAATGAAAGTTCAAATTCACTGATAATCAAATATCGTTTTTATGCCGAACCGATAGACGAAACCGAAACCGAATTGATACCGAAACCATTGATCAAAAACCGAAAAACTGATTAACACCGAACCGAAAAAGACCGAAATGTCCGGTTTTTAAAATATGAAAAATCGATATTATCGGTATTATTACAAAAACCGAGCCATTCCGACCCGTGCACACCCCTAGAGAATACTTTGAGCTTCACCTGGTCGTTGTACACCTGAATCGGTACAAATGATCCGTAGGATCTCTTGTCCCATCATAAAAGAAGTTTATTGGGCTAAAAGTGGATGGAAGTGGGTCCCAGACAATAATTCAGCGTGGGACCTACATCGAACATGCATTCGCTCCCTTCAACGGGTGGTTGCCAAACCTCTCTCCGTACTGTCTTCATACTGGCCACGCGTCCTGCCGTGAATTTATCTTCTCGATTCATTGAGCTATGGCTATCCGCACTGTCCTCCGACCGATGACTCAAAATGGTTTGAGGACACGGATTCGCTCTTCGACTCGCTGCGTAGACTTAGGAACCTCTACAGGATTCCCACGTATATCTCTTAAATTTTTGGAACTCGCATTGCATCTCTTTGATTCTTTGTGGCTAAATGATGTTTGGACGATCGACGAATGATGGATAAAATAAGCTATTAATTGGTATATAAAGTAAAATTGTATCCCTTCACTTAGAATGCATATTTCTTTTTGAGAGGGGAAATATACAACTCAATCTTATGATCGATGAAAACAAAATGGGGTTAATAAAAAAAATCAAGAGGTTTTCCTTAATAATTAATTAAAATAATCTAGAGGGTTGCATGGTGAAAATCATGAAAAAATATTAACTATATATTGGTAAATATTGCTCCATTTGACATGGTATTGATTGTGTGGTGGGTAGAGGCTGAAGTTCATTTCTATAACATCATGTGATGATATGATGTACGATGTAGAGTGTAGACATGTCAGCTGTATATGCACATGCTTGCCCGAGAATGAAGCTATATAGATATATAAACTAGGTTCAATTATTGAAAAACAAATGTAAAAGGAAAGGAAATATACCCTTCAATCAAATCGATTGGAATCTTTCAATATATATATAAATAAATATTTTTTGATGTTTCGTTTGGTTGGTAACATGATTAATTAAATAATTGAATTTATTTAATATTTGTTTCGGACTTTTTGGGTCGACGTATAGTTGGCTATAATTTTAATTTCGATAAATTGTATATATTAGTATAATAGTGGGTTCGTAGGATTCTACATTAAATTCGTTACTAAAGTTGAAACTCGCAATTAAGTATTACTATATCATGAAATTAGTGATATCAATCCCCTCGGGCTAATTTTTTAAGGGTGACTAAAATAGAAAATTACAATTTTATCCTTAAAACAATAATTATGGCTCGTTCGGTTACCACTATATTCTACTGACTAAATAGTAGGAGCTAATAACATTTTCGGTTGGTAAGATTCACATTTTTTCAAACCCGCTACTATCAAAGTCCGCTATTAAATGCTACTATTTCATTAAATTAGTGGCACCCCTCCCCCTGAGATTAATTTAATATGGGGTTACTAAAGAGAAAAAAAATATAATTTTTTCCTTCAAATCATATTTTATCATTGTAAACTAAGTGGTTTTATAGACAATTCATATATAATAACTGATTTAACAAATTTAATAGAATATCTAATTTAAGAAACCGAACATGATACTAACTAAATAATTAATTAATCAGTGTGGAGTTAATTCAATCTCATGTAATCCAATCTAATCCAATATAGATAACCGAACGAGCCCTTAGATAAGCAAATTTGTTCTGACATAATCCAATATAGATAAATAAACGAGGCATAAATATGGGATCATTAACACATATTCGATTGACAAGATTCAACTAAACTCAATTTATGCAATGAAAGCTTAACGAATATTCTTAATTAAAGACCAAGGCTGGCCCCGGGGTGGGCCCCCTTTTTTTCAAAATATATTTATATATATATATATATATATATATATATATATATATATATATATATATATATATATATATATATATATATATATATATATATATATATATATATATATATATATATATATATATATATATATATATATATATATATATATATATATATATATATATATATATATATATATATATATATATATATATATATATAAATATATATATTTATATAAAATTATATTTATAAATTATAAATATATATATATATATATATAT